GCATCGTGAAGTCGTGGCTGGAGTGGAAATCTATGAGGTTGCTCAAGCAAGGCGGTAGCCCTTTGTGCCGTTTGTCGAGGTAGCCGAGAGCGTATGGTGGTGGAGCCGTGGTCGAGGTAGCCGTGCGAAGAATCCCGTGGTCGATGTCGAGTCGGGGTAGTCGGTGTCGATGATGTCGCCATGGGGCCGCGGGCGCAAGGAGGCATCGAGTTAGTCATGGGCGCAGTGATGTCGAAGTAGGGGTGCGCCGGGAGGTAGAAGGTGTTGACGAAGCGTCGCGCCGGGTTTGCCAAGCCCGGGGACACGTCGTGGACAAAGGCACACATTAGTGTTGCCAGCACCAGGCATGCGTAGACGGACGAAGACGAAGTTGACGAAGTGCCGCTCTAGGCTTGCCAGGCCTGGGGACATGTCGTGGACGAAGGCACGCACCGGTGTTGCCAGTACCGGGCATGCGCATTCGAAGGACCTGCTCGAGCTGTACGCCATGTCGGAGAAGTCGGAGAGGCCAGCAGAGAAGGACTGGACGATGGTTGCGGCATCCATCGGCGCAGGGCCGATGTCACCAACGGTGGTTGGAGTAGATGAAGTGGTCTGGGTAGATGATGGCGACACTGGCGACGGGCCGGTGCTGGACGAAGACGAAGGAGGTGGATAGGCGGCAGCGACCTGACGGTAGCGGCAGCGGCTAGGTTATGAGCGCGGCGATGATGCACGAAGTAGGCGAGGAACCCGACAGTGTGACGAAGACCGGCGCGGACGGTGGCGTTCCCGCGCCGAGGAAGATGGCGCGGCGCATACCATGGGAGATCGACGCACGGTGACGGCGGAGTGGACCGCGGGCCACGACGCTACGGCCTGAAGGGGCGACGCAGTGGCGGCGGACAGGTCGGGGCGACGGTGGGAAGGCCTCGGGGCGGCGGCGGGGACCACGGGTCGCGACGCTATGACCCGAGGAGGCGACGCAACGACGGAGCCCAGGTCGGTGCAACTGCGGGGACGACCTCGGTGCGGCGGCAGGGACCGCGTATCGTGGCACTACGACCCGAAGGGGCGACACAGCGGTGATGCGCAAGTCGATGCAGCCGCGAGGAGAACCACGGGGCGGCGGCGCTGCGGCCCAACGGGACAACGCCGCGACAACCCGTTGCTCGATCGGTGGAGAGGCACGCTATCCTCGGGACAGTCTTCACGGGACCTGCGAAGGCGTGTGCAAGCAACTGGCAAGGTCGTTCGCACGGCACGGATGAAAAAGGATCGCGTACGCTCGGGTGATCAGTCCAAACTTCCACGAAGTTGAAGTGTCCGCTCCTCATAGTGCATCCTTGTCCGATGTAGCTGCAGACGAGGACTGGCCAGGGCCACACGTTGTGTAGAGCCACGAGCCCAAGCATCAGGTGTGACTTGACCAAGACGCCTGCATGCCTTGACGTTGAACGGAAGACGTGTATTGGGCACCGTAACACTCACGTGCGGCCGAGGTCGCTGCATCCAACGCGTGCGTGGGACGCGGGATGACCTGCGGTTACACGGTGGCCACCAGTTACACCATGACGCACCATCCTGCAGGAATAAGCATGATGCTGCCGAGGGAGATGAACGTGGGGTTGATGAAGTAGTCCCGACCGGAGCACGACAACGACGGCCGGCGGACAGCGACACGTGGGCAGACGTACGGACGACGGTCTCGTCGCGCGTAGCCGCCGGGTCGGAGAAGAGGCCGGCCGATCGCGCTGGTGCCGAAGTAGAGGCGTGTGGGGGTCAACGGCCGCGGTGGACGACGCAAACCGATCTTAGATTGAAAAACCAAAAAAGAAAGCGTCGATTAAAGCGACCCGCAAGAGAGAGAAACCCAGATCAATGGATCGGAAAAAGACTCTCTAGGCAGCCAGGCAACATGACTGGCGGACAAACCCTAGGTACGGGCGACGCGGCCCCCGGCAGCGGTCATGGAGGCCGATCACCCCGGGGCGGCGTGCCGGTGCGGAAGCGGCGGACGGCGGGCGGCGGCTAGGGTTGGATCGGTTAGGCTGATACCATGTTAGAAGAGAAAGAGGGGTTTGGTGGAATAGTTCGTTGTATTGCTTGAGCCTCGTGGGCGTACTATATAGAAGTACATGATCTACTTGGAGTACAAGGCAAGCCAGAATATTTCCTAGTCTAACCTATGCTTCCAGTCTAATTAATATACTAAAGAGAGTACGAGGCGCCTACGATGACTTCGTAAAATCTCAAGATGATGTGCCAGCTCAGTCTCTTGGAGATGCTCATCGGGATAGGATGTGCGTGTATGCATTCATGTAGATGAGTATATTCACGTATATATATGAGCATTTGTGTTTGTACTGATGTAAATAAAAGTTAAAATATGGTCGGTGTCCGTTCAAGTCTCGGACTCACAGGAAACGGAAGTTTTTGGTTGTTTGAGCGGCAGGTGAAAACGGATACGAGGATTCCTCCTACCTGACGCTCACTGAGTCAATTTTTTTAGCGAAACACAATTGGATTTTATTATTAATGTTCTGTAGTACAAATTTTCAATCTATTCATTATCTATCATGACAGTACAGAAAATATCATAATTTAAAAAATTATAATTAAATCCGTGGATCACCTAGCGACATGGATTTCGAGTCGCTCGACTAGTTGCGACTAGTCGACGACTAGTCTATGAGTCGCAAAAATATGATCGACTCAGCTTAGTGTCGACTCGTGACTCTTAGTCGCGACTAGTCACAACGCAGGCTCGATTTCTTCCGAGTCACTGCCCACTCGCATGAGTCGCGACTCGAAAACCATGCCTAGCGACGACTAAAAGCACCGGAGAGCGTATATCATCGCCCTTTTCTCGTTGAAACCAAACAAATATTATTATAGTAGACGGTCGAAAAGTCTTGCTAAGGGCCCAAAATATTAGGGCACCGGAACAGCATCGGCCGTCGATAAAGAGAAACGTAGACGACAGGATCAAATCCAGAAAGCGGTAGGTGAACGGCAACATTCCAACTCCCAGTGAGGACACTTGTAAAGCATGGTGCGCATGTTCACCGCCCGAACCTCACCGCTGTGCTGGCGCTCAACCCGGAAGGTTGCCAGTCGAAGCAGCATCCGCGTCCTGGACTCGGTGAAAATGTCGTACCCCTTGCGCGTGATGGTCTCGAGGAGGCAGAACTCAGCGTTTCCCATGTAAGTGAGGCTCACGGCAAGGTGCCTCTTCCACCTATTGTAGTACACCCTGTCGTCAACGGATGTCCAGGTCGGGCATTCACAGCGGGCGTCGTCGGGTGATATGACATTGCACACGGCGATGTACCCTTTTTGGTGTGAGCAGAGTCCCACCCACGCATCCAGCTCGCGCACGAAGTAGGCCTCGCCATGGAAAGGCAGGAGCCAGCTCCCGTGACGCGTCCGGGCGAGGCGGCCGGTGTCGAAGGAGAAGGTGCCCCTCTCCGCGACGGAGAGGAAGATGGTGGATCCGTCGGGATGCACCGCTTGGGCCGAGACAAGGATGGGCAGCTTGATCGGCGGCGGGCGGAGGGACTTCCACCGCCATTCACCCCAGCCACGGCGGGGCGCCGGTCCAAGTTTCTCCATTGAGGGAACAAATTTGTAGTTAAAGCGGTCGTAGTCGGTCTCGAGGGCGTAGATGTCGACGCCGACAGTTAGGAACTCGGCGAGCTCCTTTGGGGCGAGCTGTGGAGGGCATACGGTCACCTGCGACGTCGCGCTGTCGTACACCATGGTGCTGCGGCCGGCGTCCGCGTCCTTGTAGAAAGCGAAGATCTTGTTGCCCGTGCACACGAACTGGTCGTTCTGGTGGCGGTCGGGGGACGCCATGCGGATCGACACGCAATCATGCGGCAGATGCCGCGCCGTGGACTCCAAGTGGTCGTCCGTGCCCGTGCCTGGTTGGAAGGCGTCGACGTCGAGCTTGTACACCGTGCATCCCCGCGCGTAATCATGCACGATTAGATGGAGGCGTCCCCGACGAGGCCGCTCGGATGCGCCTGCTTCATCCTCACATCGCCGACGCTTCCCCATCCCGGCGCGGCGTGCAAAAGCTGGTGGCGACCTGTTCTCGTTTCTCTTTAATCTCCCTCGGTCGGTCCACAACCTATACTATAGCTTGTACGTGGGGTTCTTGCACCTTTGCTCCCCCTACGTGATATACGGTCAGTATATATAGAACGACCAGCTGAATCAACCATCCAAGTCGAAATACGGCTCCCTAAGAAAAAAAAAGTCGAAATACGGTCAGTACCCATCCAAGTCTCGGACTCTGGAGGAAACGGGATTTTTTGAGAAAACGGCCCGGTTGGATTTGTCTGCAACCGCGACGACGTAACCATCCATCCAACGCGTCGCTCGCTCGGATCGAAAACGGAGTCGCAAACACGTTTACGACAGAGACCAACCGGAAACGGGCATCGATGGTGTGTGTCGGGTTGGGCTCAGCTGCAGGGCTCCCTGCACGAATTATTGTGCAGGGCCAATAAGAGATCGCCATGTGTCTTTGTGGGTTAACTACCTTTTTTTCAAAACGGAGGCATAAGATTTGCCTCATCTATTAAATAAGGAGAGAATAGAGTTTAGAATTTTACAGGACACCCCATACAAGCGACATGACAATTACTCACATACAATAATAGTCCCTAGCTTCTTGGCGCCGGCAGTAACCCATAACTTTGCCTCACCAATGATGGTTTGGAGGAGAATAGGTGGTCGCGCAAATTTTTGCCGAAATACCCTAGCATTTCGCTCGTTCCAAATGGTTCAAGAGGTGAGCATGACGAGAGAGGACATGGCATGCCAATTCGGGTTTCGGTCATCGGTACGCTTGACCCACCACTCCTTGACGGATTCATCAAGATGCCAATCGGGAATGTTGACGTAAGGTAGCCCAAGCTTCTCGATGATAGATCTCCAAAGCCTAAGAGTGTAACAACACTTGAAGAAGAGGTGTGGCCCCGTTTCTTGCTCTCTCTTGCATAGCGGACAAAGACCACAATTTACCCAACCACGCTTCTTCAATCGATCGGCGGTTCAAATTCGGTCTTGCAGGGCAAGCCACGCAAAAAAATTTACCTTAGGGGGTGCCCAAGCCTTCCAAACCATACGGTCCATGGAAGAGAGAGTCAATCCAAGGAACAGAGCCTTGTACGCAGTGGCCGCCGAGTAGATCCCATCGTTCGCAGTGGCCAACTACCTTCAATTAAGTTATTAGTTTAGATTATTCTGTTACGGCCTTGTTCATCTTGTAGCTTGGGTCCGTCCTCGCCGGGCCTGTAGCTGCGCGTTATTCTTCTCCCTGGTATGATGTGCCCGTCGTCGCCGGTGTCTCCTATTTTATTGTGCGGCCATCACTATTTCATGTCCCACGCCGCCGGTGGTACCTCCTCTGCTCCGCTTCAGCATTGCCGGATCGCTTTACCATCGTCCACCCGTTTTTCATAGCACGGTCGCCACATATGTTTTCTTTACTTTTGCGCTCAGCTCGCCTCAAGATTTTGCATGTCTGATTGCGAGATCAATTAAAGCCTGCATGCCAAAGGAATTGAGTCAAAGCGAATTAATTGGGAGATTGAAACCGTCTTTTTCAAGTACGGAGAAGAGAAGCGCTGCCGTGTTGGTCTCCCGCCCGGCGAGATTCAGTTGTGCTCTTGGGGTTCCACGAGACCACGACATCAGAAGTCCCTCCGTGTAGACGGCACCTCGGCTCTCTAGATGGAGACTTCAAATACTTCAAAACCAAGGAACAGAAGAACTGCAAAGAGTGCTCTTGACGGCATCAGCGACGTGCTCCTAATCGTGTCCGCCCTCCTTCTCTGTTGTTGTGGCGGCCGCCGGATGTTGGAGGAAACCGTCCTTTCTAGGAGTACTTGCTAGCAACCATTCTTGTGTGAAGCCATTCAGTAAATCAGTATTCCTTTTGCGTAGGCCAGGCGAGGAAGGACCAGCGAAGACGATATTTAGACCGTAACAGAATAATCTAACTTAATTGGGGTGGTTGGCCCACAAAGACACATGGCGATCTTTTATTGGCCCTGGACAATAATTTGTGCAGGGGGCCCTGCAGCTGAACCGAACTCGCGTTACTCGCGTTTCTTCCTTCCTTCCGCTTCCTCCCGAGGGCCCTGCAGCAAACACCCTTTTTATCCAACCAACCAAATAATGTCTATTTTTCATTTCTTTTCAATTCAATAAATAATATCCGAATTGGTGCACGCACGCGCAACGTATCCCTATCCGCTGGGAGTGGAACCCATCCACCCTCCCATTCCCACGCACGCCCCTCCCCCTCCCAACCTCGTCTTCGTCGACCATGCACGCACATTCGCCGCCGGCCGGGAATCCTACCTACCTCGTCGTATCGATTTGTTTGCCCTCTTACTCGCCTCCGCCATGGTATCTCCTCCTAAAAAAGCTCATATTTTTATTTCTCACCACCACACGCCCTCCGATGACACTATACGCATCATCAGATGGGGATCAAATGTGAGAGACATTATTTCTCCTAAGGGGCATCGTCGCCACCACACAACCCCAACCAAGATGTTGAACAAAACAAGAACAAGAGTGGGATTCCTCCCGCCGGCGAGGGGCCGTGGTCCTCCGCACCTCCATGGCCCAAAGGCCATGGGAGGCGAGGCAGACCGGCGGCTGCCAACGGGAGGAGGGGAAACCCTAGTCGCCTAAGAGTAGTTTCTTTGATTTACACCGAGACTTTATTAATGAACAGTATAATGTTTAACATAGCCTAGGGCTCCAAAAGCCAAACATAACGTCATGGAACAAGCTGTAGCAAATTTCGAGCAATATTATGGTCATCCCCATTAGACTATCTTCCTTCATGCTTAAACACTATCTAAGAAGAACTAGCGGCAGATTCGAACAATTTTTAATACAATTCAAAAAATTCCATGGAAATTGTGAACAATTTTTTCAAAACACAAAAAATGAAAATCCAACCATTTTTTGCACAACGCGATTTTTTTCTTAAATTTTGGACTTCTTTGAAAGAATGAACAATTATTGGAAAGCATGAAGATTTTTTTTTTAAGTTGTGAACAAGTTTTGAAACTACGAACCTTTTAAAAATTTGAGATTTTATTTGAAATTCCCAACAATGTTTGTACAAGCCGAACAATTTTTGTAAATTCAATCTCTTTTGAAAAAGCAAACACATCTAAAAATGCATTTTTCTTTAAAAAGTGGGAACAATTTTGAGACTCGAACAAAATTTAGAATTGTTTTTAAAAAGTTTTGAACATTTTTGGAAACATATTTTTTTCAAATCTATGAACATTCCTTTAAAACATGAATATTTTTTTGATTTCGTGGACAAATTTTGAAATCAAGAATATATATTTTTGAAAATCCCAAACAGGTTTGAAAACCGTGAAATCTTTTTGAAATTCCAAAAAAAATTAGTTAACAAACATTTTTCAGAATTGCGAACACAAATTTGAAAAACGGGGACAGCCTTTTGAGTTCCGGACAATATTTGAAATTTTGAAGCATTCCTAGGAAAAAGAATAATAAACTCGAAAAAGGAAAAAAGAAAAGGAAATGACAAAGAAAATAAAAAAACTGAAAACTAGAAAAGAAACAAATAACATGTTCAAGAACCATCTAGAAGGTTTCCAAAAAAAATGCTAGAAACCTTCCAGAATGTTCCCAAAAGCAGGATCGGTCGAACGCTTCGACGGGCCGGTCGAGAATGCTCGCTGTCTTGTCACTATACGCTTAAGGTGCCGAATAGGAGCTCTGCC